TGCTGGCAGATGCCTGCCTGTACCACCTCTTCCCCCTAAAATGAAAATGAAGTTAAACTCTCACAATAGTTAACACTAACTGCTTGCGATTATTTTTAAACTTTGCAACAAGCAATTCTGAGCATGTGCCTATGATAATGTGTCTCCCATGTTAAGTGAAAGACGTTATTGCTCATCTCCCTTTGCCTCTAACCAGAAAGGCATATCAACCCTCACTTGAGAGATAGTGCAATCAAGACCCTGAGGTTAAGTAACCTGCCCAAGGTCGCGGGGTCAGTAACCAGTTGGTGGTGCATCTACTCCAAAGCCTGCACTCTTCCCTCCATACTCGGGCTGGCTCTCCGAGTGGGCTGGGGCTCTCGGGGCTGTGAGCTCAGAACTGGCTTTACAGTGACACCGAGATGTGATTTGCCGTTCACTCTCATTCTCTCTGAATGTAAGTGGACTTTTCCAAAGGCTCATGGCCTGCATGTAGACTGTATGCAGAAGCAAATGTTAGCACTTCAGAAAATACAAAACAATGCTATTAATTAAAAGTTATTATTCACTTAAAGATTATTTATGTTAACACAATGGTTTATTATTTTTAAACAATTACTGCATAAATATTTCAAGTTGTCCTCATTTTAAGTTTCTAAGATAGTTAACAACACATATAAACCACATAAGCAAAAGATCTTTGGAGTCCTCAATAATTTTTAAGAGTGTAAAGGGGTCTGAGATGAAAAGGTTCAGGAACCACTGCCTGATCAACTCTTGAAAATAATATAAGCTAGATTTTTCCCCCTATAAATTTTATCAGTAATCAGGACAGTCTGAGCTCCCGTTAAATATGTCCACGCACCATACTTAATATTACTGACTGATGAACTCTGACCTTTCTGTTCTCATGTTTTCCTTTGTTGACTCTTCCATATAAAGTTAAATTTATCTTTAGTCCAGCCTGTGTGGCCCAGCGGTTGAGCTATGAACCAGGAGATCATAGTTCGATTCCAAGTCAGGGCACATGCCCGGGTTGTGGGCTCCATCCCCAGTGTGGGGCATGCAGGAGGCAGCCAAGCAATGATTCTGTCTCATTATTGATGTTTCTATCTCTCTCCCCATCTCCTTTCCTCTCTGAAATCAATAAAAATGTATATTTTTTAAAAACATACTTCATCCTGGTGTATAATTTAGAAAATATCTGTTCAGAGGCCATGGAACATTTTAAAAACGTCTATTTTTAAAAAGTGAAAAACTGAAGATGAAAGTGCTAACGAGCCTATCTAATTGTGATTCTTCAGCACAGGCCTCGATACCTCAACCTGCTCTGGTTCTCAGCCACCATTCTGTCATCTATAAACTGCAAAGTATTTTTTGTATTTCTAAGAGCAAAATGTGATTAGATAGATATACCTACTAGAGTAGAATATGAGTTGTTCGCAGGGAAAGAGAGGCTTTAGGATTCTGTGACAGCATTTTGAATTACATTTCATTATCCTCATCTCTCCGGCAACATGGGCTGGGGGTAGGGAGGGGGTAATATTTGCCCAAATCAAATTTAGTGTTTTATAACTAAGGCTGCATTTCATAACATTAACCTGTTCCTTAAAAATAAAAGTAATTTTGCATTGTATTGACATGTGAAATGGCATAATTATAAGTTAAGGCTTGCATTGCAGAAGATCAGAAATTAAACCTAGAGGAGAATTAACATATGCATATACACCACAGGCTGGACATCATACCAGGCACGTGGTATTTACCACCCCACTCAACACCCTTTGGCGTGGGTACTGTTCCACTGATGAAGAATCTGGCATTCAGAGAGATTAAGTATGCTGCCCAAGGCACCCACACCAGTAAGCAGAAGAGCTGGGGCTCCAACACTTTTCTGACTTTAAAGTCTATGCTCCTCCCAAGACTTTACACCTCCCCAGTATCATTCTCAGAACTAAGAGCTTCAAAATCTGAAGAGGATGAAAAGTTAAGTAGAGATAAGAAAGCAAATGTCATGAGTGAAATCTGAAGAATGCAATTGAACTTATAACGAAAATATCTCAAATGTACTTGTTTACATCCCTTATTCAGGCCCAAGTTTATCTGCAGTGGCACACTCGAGAAGCTGGAGCTGGAGAAAAAGCATCTGGCCAGCGCACAGCACAGAGACCCTGCAGTGTTCAATGACGCAACACCATGTCCTCATATTCATCTTCTGAAATGCCCGTTGAGGTATTTGCACTCTCAACACTTGGGAAAGCTGAGGTCAACAATTCCTGTCCAGGAATAAGATTATATTCACAGGGGTCTCCCTCAACCTGTGCTTGCCGTCCAGTGCAAAGCAAAGATGCTGGGCCGGACAAAGACAAATCTAGAACCACTGCTCTGAAAAGATACCTTAACAAGAAACTTCCCAAGGAATAATAGACTAATTTCTGGTCCTGGCTGGTGTGGTTCAGTGGATACAGCATTGGCCCACCCACCAAAGGGTCTAGGGTTCAATTCCCAGTGAAGGGCATGTACCTAGGTTGCAGGTTCAATCCCTCGGGCTCCCTGGGTCGGGGCACATGCAGGAGACAACCAATCAATGTATCTCTCTCACATCAGTATTTCTCTCTCTCTCTCTCTCTCTCCCTCCTTTCCTTCCACTCTTTGTCTCTCCCTAAAAATAATAATAATAATAATAATAATAATAATAATAATGGGCCGAAGCCGGTTTGGCTCAGTGGATAGAGCGTCGGTCTGTGGACTGAGGGGTCCCAGGTTCGATTCCGGTCAAGGGCATGTACCTGGGTTGCGGGCACATCCCCAGTGGGAGATGTGCAGGAGGCAGCTGATCGATGTTTCTCTCTCATCGATGTTTCTAACTCTCTATCTCTCTCCCTTCCTCTCTGTAAAAAATCAATAAAATATATTAAAAATAATAATAATAATAATAATAATAATAATGGGAAAAAATATCCTCAAGTGAGGATTAACAAAAGATGAGGTGAAATAAATTTTTTAAAAAGAATAATTCCTGGAAAGAGGTCACATTCATTTCTGCCTGGAAGCCACTCAGGTCCACAGACTTCAGGGAGAGCAGGCCTCAAGGACAGCACTTCAGTCAATTTTGAAGGACATTTTGCTGTGAAGCTGAGATAAAGGAAAACAAAGTCTTCTCATTCCTTCCTTTGCCCTTGTTTTCCTGAGGCCCTCTGCTCCAGCATCTTGTCAGACCACCTTCTCACCTCCCCTTTCTGACTGTTCAGGAACCACAGGTCCCAGAAGCTTCCCCCCTGGGCCACAGGTTAGGAGGAGACAGGAAGCAGCTCTCAGGGGCAGCGAGCAGGGCGGCTCCCACTGGTCTCGTGGCTCCTCCTGAGAATCCCTGGCCTCTGAGGGTGGCTTCCCCAAGTCCCTACATGTCCTGTGTCCTGAGGTTTCCTGACTCCCACTTCCCGAGTCTTGTATCTCTCCCCCAAACCCCCGTAACTGAACCTTCTGAGTCTGTTCTAAATGCCTCTCCAAGCCCTGGCCAGGTAGCTCAGTTGATTAGAGTGTCGCCTCAATACCCCAAGGTTGCAGGTTCGATCTCCAGTCAGGGCACATAAAAGAATCAACAAATGAATGCATAAGTATGTAGAACAACAAGATATATATATATAATCTTCCTCTAAAATCAATCAATAAAAATGTATTAAAATGATAAAATAAATGCCTCCCAGCTGTGATGCTGTGATGCCCCAAATGGCTTTGTTTCCTGACCAAACCTTTTTATGTTCACATTGCTCAATCCCTTCTGTCCCACTCCCTGATCCCTGGTCTAAACTGTCCTCACAGGCCTGGATCACAGGCTCACAATTCATTTTCTGGTCCCCCAGCCATCCTGTGGACTGTCTAATTGATTTCACTGGCTGCCCACTGAAGTCTAAATTCCTTACAACAGAATACCAGGCCTGGCCTTGCCCTGCCCCATTTAACCAATCATCCCCTGACCCGAAATGTCATCCTCAGTGTGTGCACTCTCCATGGCTAAGTCCCAGCCAAAGTCCAAGCACCCTCATGCACCCCCCTACCCCGGACACTCGTCGTATTTTCACATGTTGGCCATGTTTCCCCAAACTGATTGAAGTTCATTAAGAACAAGCATTGTGTCTTACAGCTCTAACATCACCTATTGTGCCATCCAAACTTAGAGTTGCAATCATAGTGGAAGATCGATACGTGGTTTTGACTAACACTGGAAATAACCTATACACATAGATATTAGTTTATTTTTCCCAGACGGAGGGCAAAAACACCAACATTTATAAAGGGAAAATGTCTTTGTGAATGCTAGAGCGTGAAACTTAAATCTGTCTGCTTATAAATTCTATAGGATAACAAAAATCCCAGCTTACAAAGAGGAAGAATCCTGCCTCAGTGCTGGGAACCAAAGTCCCTTAGAGACCAAACAGTTTCTGTGGGTTATTGGTTACTTTGATTTTCTACGGTTGGCAATTTAAATTCACACTAACATTCAACAGCTGGTAAAAGAAATATTACAGAAGAACACAGTTTTCAGCTTCCCAAGGGGAAAAAAGTTGTAATTTTCTAAAAGAAGTGGGAGGGACTACCACAAACACGTAAAATTGCAAAGTTTTATGTCTTTTAAAACCAGAGGAAGATAGAAACAGAAAGAATAGGAGAAGAAAAAGACATGTGTCCTGAGTCCAAAGTGCACCTCCCCGTGGGTAGTGAGAACAGACCCTGTAGGGAGGGACCTGCACTTCGTTAACTTTGCATTCTAGCATCTAGCACAATTCCTGGGACAGGAGGATTCAAGACTTTTTGATTAAGTCAATAAATGCATAAGGGAGCAAGATTAAAGAGAGAGAGAGAGAGAGAGAGGGAGAAAGAGAGAGAGATTCTGGGGCATCTTAAAAATAAGGCTCTCATCATGAAAATGCTTTTTGTGAAGTGTAAAGGAAAATTCTATTAGGTAAGTTCACCAAGCTACATTTCATACCACAGGGCAGGCAGGATTGGCATTCCCTTACCTGAGGCACAGGCACTTTCTGCGGGGTGTTCTGGGGCGATGGGTGGAGCTGTGCCCAAGGCTGGTGATGCGGGTGTGGGGGTGAAGACTGGTGGTGCAAGCCCGGGTGGGGCTGCATCGGAGGGCAGGTTGGCAATTGCTGAAAAGACGGCTGCTGACCAGGGTGCTGCTGGCCAGGTAACAGCCGCTCCTGGATTGCTTGTGGATCTGCAAGGCCAACACCGGGGCAACCATTTGGTCTCATGTGCCCGGCCAGCTCCCTCGGCGCTGAGGACATGCCCATAAATGGACGCGACGGCTGCATGTTTCTGGGGCCCATATTCCTCTGTCCAATTCCCATGGCACCAGGGGGCTGGTGAGACGGTGGAGGGTGGGGCATATTTGGATAACTGCCAACTTCCATTGGTATCCCAGCACTTCCGGGCCTGACTTGCGGAGGAGGAGTACCTGCCGGATTACTCATTGCTTTCATGGGTGACATGGGAGGTGGAGAGGCATAAGTTCCCTGAGGCTGTGAAGGATGCATAGTTTGTGTGTTCATTTGGTTAAGTGAGCCACTGGGGTGGATGGGCTGCTGGTGCATTAGTCCTTGACCACTGTTTGATGGGAATCCTACAGCATTGGGGTATCTGGGTACGGACTGATTCATTGGAGTATTATTTGTAAGGCCTAAATTTTGATTCATCCCTGTATTGTTAACTAATCCCTGATTTAGGTTACTGTAAGGATATCGAGAATACTGCCCTGAGTTGTTTATAGTAGGTGAGGGGACTGTCTGGCTCCGAGAACTAAAGTTAAGGGTTTGCGGCCTGACAGCCCCTTGTGGAGGAGGATTAGGGGAGAATCTGGGACTGTGGGCAACGGATTCCCCATGGAGAGCAGTGGGGGGGTGGTGGTGGAACTGCTGCACTGAGTGACGGAGGGAAGGTGCCATGCTGGGACTCTGCTGGGGCACGTGGGACAGGTGGCCGGGTCCTGAGGTGGCAATGAAAGGGTTTCCCTGATTGAGGCCCTCTTGACCTTGGGAAAACTGGCTCATCCTCTGCGGCGGCTGCCCGTGCTGCTGCATGGAAAAATCCCCACGTGCCATGTAGCTGCCCATCTGCTGCATGTGCTGAGGGTGGCCCTGGCCGGGGGGCCCCGACGGAGCCGGCTGCGGTGGCTGCTGGTAGGGGGCTCGTATCTGGTCCGGTACCTGAACAGCCCGGGGGCCCCACATGGAGCCACTGTCCACAAAGGACTGCCCGTGCCTTTCATTCTGCATGCCAGGGTAGACTCCCATCTGCCCGCCGCCACTGCCGCTGTGAGGGACCTGAGGAACGGGAGGGGTGTGGTACTGTGAGTGAGGAGACGCGAGTCCGTTCCCAGGGGCGCTGCTCATCATCCTGCTCGGCTGGTCCAGGAGGTGCATCTTCTGCTGCTCATACTGATTGTAGTGATCGAAATGGGTCAGCTTGGTTTGATTCTGATTAGGGGAGGGATGGTGAAGGGAGGGCTGTAGAGAGGCAAATCCCTGGTCTAGGGGCATTTGCTGACCCATGGGGTTCACTGGATTTTCCGGGTAACCACAATCGCCAAGGCCTTCGAGGCCTTCACTGAAAATATTCCCATCCTCGCCAAAGAGACTCATCATTCCTGGATCCGCCATCTTCTTCCAACACGCGGCTCCTTCCTCCCAGCTATAGCTCGGGAGCTTGTCTGTGCTTCTCTTCACTGAGGTGCTCGTCCTCAAGGCCTGTAATCCTCAACTAATCTTCTTCCTGTCATTCTATATTCCTTTAATTCTCCTGGACCCCGCAGTGTCAGGCAAAATCTGGATATAGGTCCTGGAAGGGGGGAGGGGGGAGGGTGGGAGGAGGGAGGAAGAAAACAAAGAATTAGGAACAAATGGCGGAAACTGCCAGTATTTTACACATTTGAATTTGGTTTCCATCAACAATACTAATCTAGCCCCCTCGCCGAGCTGTATTTTCTAAATCTAGTTCACTTTAAGAGAAACTCATTAGCTTCTACCAGAAGCATTATTATGATCGGTTACTTAGAAAGCAAGCAAAACACTAACCTTAACCTTAAATTAATCCATTCACTACACTTCCTAGCGTTCCATTCTTGGATGGAACAGAACAAAAGAACACAACATGAAGCAGCAGCAGCTGCCACAGCAGGCAAGCAGATGTATGAATATAGCCAAGCAGCCCATCTGCTGAACTAAAGCCCTGGAAATGCTCTGGTTACCAACAGCCCGCCCTCCACCGTATTCCCCTGAGCAGTGTAATCAGATGAGCAGCCGCAGCACCGAGGGCTGTGAAAAGCTCAACTTAGTTAAATTGACTAGAGGATTATACAAATACCAAAATCAGTCATTTCGTACAAATTAGATATTTGCGGCCCACATACAACTATGGAACAGCAACAGAGGCGTTGAGTGAAAAAGCGTTCATAACGACGTTGGAAAGCAAGTTTGTAGAGTATAATAAATTCATGATTTCATCACATTTAATGGCAGGAATATACAAGATTCAGAAAGGACCAGCGGAAAAACATCCATGCCCCAAGAGGACTGATTTCGCTTGCAGCTCTGGGCCCACCACGTTCCTGGTCAACACTGCCGGCAGAGCTAGTCCAATCACAGGTTCGTTATTCACCCAGAGGCACCGGGCTCTGATGATGAACCAGGGGCCCATGTGACCACTCAGACAGACTCTAGCTGCATGAGCAGTTTCTGGACCATGACTATTCTCATCAATAGAAACAGAAAACTTTCCCCAAAACTGATGAGAACTGAAGTTCAAAATATCCACGCAGCCCTACCCTTATCTTAACTTCTTTTGGGACAAGGCAGGCAGGACATGAGCAGGTAGGGGGAAAGAGGGCAGGCACACCTGTCAGCATGCTGTGTCTACAGCACACATTACACGCTATCTAATGTTCCGCCCTTTATTCAAACAGTTCCTAACAGACTCTATGTCCGATTAAAATAACCGATTTAAAGAATGTCTCAACAAGCAAAACAGAGTATTTTTGTTGAATGCTAATTACATGAACTTAATAAAGAACTAATTCACATCGGAAAAATGTCTGAAATCTTAAACATCTTTGGAATTTAACTCATTTTTCCCCTCTTTCATGAGCACATGAAGCATTGTATGATTCTGCCCAACCTGAAAAAACAATGTCTATGGAAGAATTTCCAAAGTGATGCTATAAACAGGCTCAGTCATAAATTCCACTGACACACTTCTCTGAGAGCATGACGATGAACAATGGGCCACCCAACACTGCTGAGAACTTACCAGTAAGACAGATAAAAAAAATCCGTTTCTGCCTGCCCTGCTCTAACATCTTCCTAACAAGGGGAGAATTTTGCTTACAGACAATGTAAACAACATTCCCATTCGCTGTCAGAACTACAGACATAACACCTGGGGGGGTCTCTAGGCCTCCAGTGTTCAGGTGACAGCTGTCAGCGAAAGTCAAAGGTCTCTCCACTCTGCCGCTAACTGCCATGAATTTTCTGATGTACTTTCTCCAAAAAACAGAGGTCAGGTGGGTGAAAATAAGACGGGCAGCACGAAAGCCATTTTATTTACAGACATGCTGCTTTCCTACACACCTACTTTAAAATCCAAAAGAGAGAGACTCAGAAGCTCCAGTGCCAAATAAAACAAATACTTATAAATTAAATTTACTCCTAAAGAGCCTAAGCAGTCAGTCTTCATTGATTCAAGGCTCATTCTAGCTTTCAAGGAAATAAACACTGAAATGGACTTGATAACAGCTTAAACCAGCCGTGCAGACTAACCACTTACCAAAATAACCTTTCAAATTAGCTTAAGGAAGGTAATGTCTCCTTCTATGTCCTGGATGGCCTTGTTTTTCCAGGATAAGGGCCTCATCCTCCAGGGTCTACCACGTGTCACGGAGGAAACGCTCCTGACTGGAGAGGGTTCCCAGGCAGCTCCGGGGGAAAGGAGCCCAGAGGCAAGGCAAGGTCAGGTCCCCTGACCCCAGCAGAGGCGCAACCCGGAGAAGCTGCGAGGGAGTGGAGCAGAAAGGGGGGAAAGAACCTGCCTGCAGGCATGGGAAAGGACAAAACACAGCCCTCCCTGAAAGTAATCCTCCCTGACACTTGCGCTTCCACTTCCCCCATCCCGCCCACTGAGAGTCCATTTCCCAGCGGCATTACCTGGAATCAAGCAAACACGGTGCCCACCACAACTGGGACCACAATCAGGTGAGCTCCGGGCAGAGAAGTTCAAAATCTATGGCTTTAGTCTATCATTAGTGGCGGCTCGCACTTGCTCGGACAGCCACCACCGCCTGCCTGCCTGCCTGCCCCTTTTCTGACCTCAAGACTGGGCTGGCGACTATGCTAGGAATCCATCTGGTAGCTGGATTTCATATTTCTCATTTGAACTAATCTAATTAATTTATTTTGGCCTTTTTTAAATTTGATCAAGACCATTTGAATACCCGCGTTTCCAAGTCACAGCTGCAACATATAATTTTGTTTCTATCAAAGATGTCCATTTAAAGCTCCTTTTGGGAGGGTACTCCCTTCTCTACATTCAATATGTACATTTCTGTGTCTAGATCGGTGCTGTTCAATGAGCCGTCAAATCAGAACCATCTATGTAGTATTAAAATTTCTAATAGCCACATTTAAAAAGTAACCCAAAAACAGAGTGAAATTAATTTTAATAACAATTTTTATTTAACCCATTATATGTAAAACATTATCAGTTCAGCATGCAATCAATACTTAAACATGAGTTTACATTCTGTGTTATAAGTCTCTGAAACTCAGTTCCTCACACCAGCATATCTCAATTTCAATTAGCCACGTTTCAAGTCAAAAGTATACACCTGTAGGCAGTGGCTACCAGCCTGAATAGCATATTTATAGATTGTTAAAAAGAAAAAATAGAAATACAAGTTTTAGGTGTTATCAAAGAATTCTCATAATTATCACTTGGACAATAAATATTCAAGTTGTAGTTATGTTTGATTTGACGTTAAGTACCAAGTTAAATCTCAAATCACATTTTTTGTTCAAAACATATTTACTGAGCACTTTCTGTGGTCCTGGCACTGGTCTAGGTGCTGCAGATGTCTAAATAAAAACAAACAAAACTCCCTACTGTCCTCATGGACCTTACATTTATCTGTAAGTCAAGGATCTATTTAAATAAGAATTAAGAGTCAGGGAATATGGGGGGGGGGGGGAGGTTCCATTATGAAAATTAGGATAGCGCCCTGGCTGGGTGGCTCAGTTGGTTGGAGCATCGTCCTCCCAAAGGTTACAGGTTTGATTCCTGGTCAAGGCACATATACCTAGGTTGCGGGTTTGATCCCCAGTCGGGGGTGCATGCAGGAGGCAAGTGATTGATGTTTCTCACATCCATGTTTCTCTTTCTCACTCTCTCTCTAAAAATCAATGGAAACACATCCACAGGTAAAAACTTTTTTTTAATTAGGATATCATTTTACAAAATATTTCTTAGTAATTTATGATAGCAAGTATTTTAACTATGTGTGATATTATATAGTAAACGGTACAGATATCTATAGATATACATACAAATATATATAAAATGAAGACAGTAATTTTAGTTTCTGCTCAGTGCCCTACTGGCAAGTATTTTCTGAGATAAGAACAAGGTTCAGAAAATGCATGTGTCTGGGGGTGAGGAGGGGCCACAGGAGACAGCTCAGCTCACAGAATCACCCCCACAGTGGAGACTCACTGTGGAACCACCTATGAACATTCAGAGCTGGCAAGCACTTTGGAGAATTTCTAATCCAAACCCCTCTTCAGTTAACAGGTGAAAAAAACCTCTTATGGAATGATAAGAGTGAACATCTTCCACAGAATACTTTAATGGCAACATTTACCAAAGATAAAAGAAAACTGTATAGATGAGATGGCACCTTACTAGGGGAAGCAAAATAGTAAAGGTCCAAATCAGATCCGTTTTACTCAGAGATAGGTCACTGAAACAGTTATTGACTAGCAAACAGAAGTTTCCTTCCAAAAAAGTGTTTACTTACACTATCTATACGAAAGAGCACATTAAGGATCTTAAAAAAACAAGTAAACAGCACATATAATGGGAGATGGAAGCAAAGGGTATACAGCAAACCAAGATGAAAGAAATAAGTTGTGCAAAAATATATATAAACTAGAGGCCCAGTGCATGAAAATTCATGCACTGGAGGGGGGGGGGGGGGTCCCTCAGCCTGGCCTGCCCCAACTCATAGTCCAGGAGCCCTCAGGGGCAGGAGGCGACCCGGTGATCAGGGAAAGGCAATGCCCCCATCACACCTCTGCTGCTGCCACTGCCGGCAGCGCAAGCCTTGGCCGGCCCTGGTTACCTGAGCCTCAGGCAGCCCTGGGTGGCTGGGGTGCTGAGGGGACTGGGGGACTCCAGAGGCAGGCCTGCTGCCCTGGTGGGGCTGAGGGGACTGGGCACCACCATCTTGTGACTGTGGGCACCACCATCTTTGAGGGCAAGGCAGCCAATTAGCATATTCCCTCCTTATTGGCTGTGAGCGCCACCATCCTTGCAACAGTGTGAGGGTCAATTAGCATATTCCCTCTTTATTAGATAGGATATTTTGAAGTGAATTCCTAACATCCAATACTTCCGCAGACAAATGCTTAACTACTGTGTAGCCACTTTTTAATATGGTAACACAGTGACCCAGAAAGCTAGCAAGAAAATACGTGAATACAAAAAACCTTTCACATGCAAAATACTTCCTATAGATCAACCACTTTTTACCCAATTGCATAAGGAGAATGCCATCCAAAGGAGGTTTTTTC